CTCTAACAAGGCGTGTAATAAGATATACATATTTAATGATCCAAGGGGAGGAGCGCTAATAGGAGCCCAGAGCAAGTGGTTCGGGGGCCAGGGCTCTGCCCTAGGGCTCCCAGGGCTGTAAGAACTGGGATAGGTTCTCACCCTGTAGTTCCCAGTGCTGGTCTTTTCTCAGGACTGCCTCAGTCTTATCCTGTCCAAGACCCCAAGGAGAGATAGGTACAGAAAGTGAGGCAGAACTCAGGCCAGAGTCTGAGCTGGGGCCTAGGCCTTGCCAGTACAAAGGATGCACGCGCCCCTAGAGACTCTCTCACTTATAGGGCTTGGAAGGGCTGGGTGTCCTAAGACCCTGTCATCCAGGGCCCTGAGCATTGGGGTGGGCCCACAAGGGAGGGAGTGCTGCGGCTGCGTGCCCAGCCTGCGCTGATGGTGACGGATGGTTTTTCATTATAGCCTCTCAGGTCCTGCCCGCGCCCTGTGTGGAAATTCTATTTATTCCCTAATTTGTAAAAATTCCCTCTTTATCTGATCCCAATCAGGGCGGGGTAATTGGCTCTCTGGGGCAGCGGCTGGGGTCCTTGATGAAGAGCTATGTGGATGTATCCAGCCCGGCCCCCACCCAGCCTGCCACCAGGGCCCACAATTAATAATGATTTGCAAATGGCAGACAAGCAATAACACAGAAAGATGTGGCGTCCGCACTGCCTCTTCATTTCCTCCCCTTGCAGATATAAATGGCCACAGAACAAAAACCTACCACTATAAATTCTAGAATTAGTTATTCACCAGCATAAATGGGGCCTGGAGCCACCAGCCTCCCTCCCTGCCACCCTTCTTGCCTGCTTTCCTTGATCAGGTTCTAGCCCTAGGGTGTGTTCCTGAGTCTGACCCCTCCGTCTTTGGCCTCTTTGACTCCCTGTTCAGATCCTGGACTTCATACTGCCACTCTAGCAACCCTTTCTTGTATGAACTTTGCAGTGGTCACCTGCCTTGGGCCTTCAGCTTCCTCTAAAGTGGCCCCAAGTAGCAAAGGGGATTGACCCTTGGCTTCCTCTTGTTGACCTGCCTGGCTGACTTGGCTTTCGTCCCCATCTGTATTTGTGTTTGAATGGAGCTGACACAGCTTGCCAGGCCTGGAAGTCTGGATAACGGAGGGTGTTGGGTGTCTTTGCCATCTAGGACCAGTCTAGTCATTTGCTTGGCCAAGTCTGAGTTGGGTTTCTGGTAGCCAAACATGGTGTGACTTCAGGAGTTGGATGCTTACTGGTCAGGCAGCTCTGGGATGTTGGCACAGGCACTTCCTGGGCACCATGCCCTCTCGGCCAGGCGCATCCTCCCCCCGTCCCCCAAGTGGCTGTGAGCTGGCGGGTAATGGGCGTGTAATGGCCTCATTTCCATGCCCGGCCTCCAGGAGCGGCGGTAAGTGTTTGATTGCCTTAATTTCCAAACACATCATTATCCCAGCTTTACCAGCGCTTAATAAACACTTTATGAGGATTTTTTTAAAAACATCTTCGGTCCGCATACTTCTCTGAAGTGATAAACTCTAATTAAGTCTAATATTTAAAAATATGGTAATGGTGAGTTGTTTGAATAAGTGGACTGCATTTCTGTAATTTCATTATTACGTAAAACACGCTAATTATTTGGAGCGCGCTTATTACGGAGAGAGAAATCGCCTGCTAATCAAGATGAAATTGCCTTTTTCCCTTATTGTGGAGCCACTGTCATCCTTCACCATCAGCTCTGTGGCACCTCAGGCACCTCAGTGGGGTGGAGGGGGCTTCAGGGAGGGGTGGAAAGAAAGGGTCACTTTGGAGTCGAAGCTCTCAGGACCCTGTCTAGGGAAAAGGTAGGAAGCCACAGGAGCCTTGCCTGAGGAGAGAGAATATGTGTCTGGCAGATGTGTCCAGTGGGCCAAGGTGGCCATGAATGGAGGACCAGGACACTCTGAGTCAAGTCTGGGACAAGGGACAGGGTGATGAGGGATATAAGGATATTGTTGGGTTATTATTGGATGTTATTGAAATAACAGCATTAATGATAACCCAGACACTGTTTTTAAGCACTTCACAAATAAAAACTCATTTCATCTTTTTAACAGTCCTTTGAGGAAAGTAGTTACTATAATTGTCGTTATTATTCCCATTTTAGAGAAGAAATCAAAACAGAAAAGTTAAATAAAGTTCAAGAACTGGCTCAAGTTCATACAGCAATTACATGGTAGAATTTGCATTCAGTCAGAATCTAAGGGGAGACAGGGTGCTATGTTGTGTCAGCCCTAAATTTCGTGCCTTGGCCCCAGATCTTCAAGACACCATGTGATGCTGCACCCTCAGCTGTAGCCAACCACAGCATGAGATCCTGCCCCTGCCACAGAGGTGCCAGATGTAGCAAATAAAAAGATGAGATACCAGTTAAATTTCAGATAGGCAACAAATGAGTTTTTAGTGTATGGGTTGACCCATAGCAGTTTGCTCTCGGGTGTATCACTGCTGCCAGGATTTCCAAATAAGCAGACAGATATATTTACTAAACAAGGCCGTGGAACACAGACACCTGCAGTTTTTGTTCTTTCATCCTTACCATGTTCCTGCCCCTAGCATTCATCTCTCTTTCCTCCCTGGCTCTCCATCCTATCTTTGCTGGTCTGTTCCAAGGGCTCTGGCTCCATCTCTAACCCATTCCAGGAGATCACTAATGCAGTGTTACCAGACAGAGATTGTTAGGTGGGACCTTAGGATGCCTGTTTGTTCCTTTAGGCCACACCACCTGCCTCTTGCCTAAAAGGTCAGCCACTTGCCACTGTGCTGTCCCTCCTGTTTGATTTACCTCTTGTATCACTTCATGTTCATTCTCTTTGCTGGTCCCAGTAGACCACGTGTGAGAATCATGTATGATAGAGATGTCATTTTAGAAGGGCGTGGAAAATGTGGGCAGTTCAGTCAGTGAAGACAGGAAAACTGGCTGTCCACTGGGGGAAACACTGGAACTTCTGTTTCTTACCACACACGAACACAAATTCCAGTCAGTCTTAAGAAGTTACATATAAAATTTACCTGAAAATATTAGGATAAAACATAGGATTTTTTTTTAAGAGCACTAAAATAGGGAAGGCCTTTTTAAGCTAGATACTAAATCTCAGAGTCAAAAGGAAACAGCTGATGAATTTAAATGACTCATAGGAATTTCACCCAATTCATCCAAAGCTCAGTTCATCACTGTCCCAAGACTGCACCTACTCATTCCTTTCCCAGCCCTCCCAGTGACTCTTTAGGGCTTGCTCACTCTCTCCTAAACACTCTGTTGCCTCTACCACTTCTCCCCCGATGGTTGTATCACCACCATCTCTCCCACTGCTGTTAGTTCTGGGCCAGCCTTTCTAGCATGGTCCAGTATGCTAAGTGATCTCTCTGCTTTTAGGGTTAGTCCCTCAGAAGGGATTATAATTCGGACCACTGATCCGGCCTAGTCCTTACCCTCCTTGAGCATGTTAGCATATCTATGACATTACCAGGATAGACCCTCAAGCTCTTCGAGTATTTTGTTTTTTTTTTTTCTTTTTCTGAGACAGAGTTTCATTATGTAGTTCAGGCTGGCCTTAAACTCAACTTTGTAGCCCAGGCTGGACTTGAACTCACAGGGATCATCTTGCCTTAGCCTCCCCAGTGCTAGGATTACAGTGTACTACCACATCTTTTCTTCAGCTAAGCATTAGGTTCCTTAGGGTTTCTTCTTGCTGCTTGCATCACCAGCTTCATATCTTATCCCTTCCTTGCTGCTTATTCTTCATCACCACTTACTTGTGAAACTTTTTTTTTTTTTAGGCAGAATGAGGGATTGAACTCAGGCCCTTGTGCTTGCCAGGCAAGCACTTATTCTACTGAGCCATTTCTTTAGCCCCGTACTTGTTAAACTCAATTTTAGGGCTGCCCACTGCATTTCAGCTCAAGAAATGTGCCTGTATTACTCATTATTCTGAGAACTTTAGACTAGCTTCTTCATCCCAAGACCTCTTGATTATTAGCTTTGTTCATCTAGAAGTCCATTCCTAAGCCTCGGGCAGAACTAGGTGTCTCCTCTGTACTTCCTTTTCTGATAGCATTGCACCCCTAACAGGGAAGTTTCTGGCTCCTTAAGGATAGGGAGCTTCAAGGTCTTTACATACCCTTAGACCCAGGTTGGCCCACTGTCCCAGCACATGGAGAGTTAGTGTATGCTTACTGGATGAATGGGATGTGTGAGTGTATGCCTCAAAGTGTTTCATGGACCCTATCCCACTTGGGGGTCTTCCTGGGCAGGCCTGCCTCCTTCCTATCCTCTACCCTTCAGCTCCCTGATAAGTGCAGCTAACTGGAGTATACTAGCCTGTGTGGCTGTGACTGGGTATCCTCGGGGTTCTGAGCCACCCTTCCATCGCTCCCTTTCCAATCAGAGAAATACTTGGCTACCCTTGGGCCCAGCCAGCAAACTCATCCTCCCTTGTTACCTGCTAGCCCCACTGGTCTTTCTGAAGGCTTTATGCAGCTGCCTCTCCCTTTATGGATTTGGCAATATAAAAATATTTCCAACATTAAGAATATTAATGCTCAAAAAAAGGAGGGGTCATCTTATCTCACATTGATGACTGTATAGGAGCACACAAATGTCTTGCAGAATTGAAGGTCAGGAAATCCTGTTCTTGGAGACATTCATTGTGGATGCACGGCTGTGCCCTCACAAGCTCGTAAGCTCCAATACAGAAGCCTCAGTAGCCCAGAGAGGTTCTGGAAGGCAAGGCTGCTAACCTAGAAGGTCCAGAGCTTCAAGGAGAGGACTAAGAAGCTGTCTTGTTACTAGGCTCATTGTGCTATCCCTCTCTCAACTTTTGGCCTATTATAAGCCCTAGATCAGTCTCTGGTACTACTTCTGCCATATGTCCTTATCATTTAATTGTGCCATTGATTTTTATTTAACTAGTCAGTAGTTTGTGTTGACTCTTATCAAGGCTTCAAGGGGGGAATAAAGACCCTGGGCTGACGGCCCACAACTGCCGTTCCACTGAGTTGAGAGGTGAGCTGGAGAAAGTATCTTTATTGTGGTGGGCCAACTGCAACAAAAAGACTGCCAGCTCCCCATTAAACAGGATCAGCAGTCAGTCTGTGGAGTGAGATCTTATCAAGTGTGTCGGTGGCCTATCTGTGGCCCTTGCCATAGGCTGTACAGTACACACTTCTCTCACCGTCAGGTCATCCAGAGAACTAGTACCTTGGCCTCCTCTTGAGGCCGAGTAGTTCCCAACATGGAGTGGTTTGTGCAGAGCTGTGGGTGCAGCACCCTGTTCAGTGCTCTCAATGCTGCGGAGGCTGCCGTCACTCCTAGTGGAGAAACCTGAAGCTTAGGATATGAAGCACTTGTCGAATGTCAGGCAACCCACTGGGTGAGGTTTAAGACCAGAACAGGTTGTGACTCCAAAGCCCACTCTGTTCTCTTCAGAAAGTATTAAAGGAACAGGGGTAGAGTGGCAGAGACGAGACCAGGGATAGCAGGGGTGGGTCAGTTTTAGCTGAGGCTTTAAGTCAAAACAAAGATTGTGGACTTTGAACATTAGAGGATAGGGAGTCACTGAAGAAAAGGAAGAGGGAAAGACCTGGTCAGATTTGTGCAAGGAGGGTCACTGTCTGCAAGACAGGGAGCAGACAGCCACCAGGCTTTTGCAAGCCAATAGGAGACAAAGGGATCTGTTGCTGGAATGAAGGACAGTAGATGAGAGAATGAGATCAAATCTGCAGAAATTCATACTTGATTAGATGGGGGGGGGCTGAAGCAAGGGTAAGGTGTCAAGCCTGACTCAGGTTTCTCCCCTACCATTCACTGGTGCAGAGAACAAGGGTAAGTGGGAGCTTTGAGAGAACAATTGTTCATTACTGGCAACATTTTGAGTCTTTACCTAGAGATGTTTGAGAGGCATTTGAATTTGTAATGTGATGCTCAGAAGGGTCCAGGCTGGAAAGGGTGACTTCAAGGGCAGCGGAAACTTAGGGTTTGGGTGAAGTCACCCAGTATACATACTGGGAGTTAACAGACAGGGCCTTGGGTAGGGGCCTGCACAGATAGGGGTCTGTGCTTGGCAACTGGGTAGGTGGGTGGCCTGGGGGTTTGAACTGGGACACTCACTTGGGTCAGGAGAGGCAGATGGAGTGATTTGTCCAGCAATGAGGGAGGAGCCACACGAAGTCAATAGAAAACTAATTTTCTTTTCTGCTGGAAGAAATGAGGTGTGTGGCCGCTGGGTAATTGCAGATAACGAGGGGACTTATTCTTAATATGCACAGCAGCCATGGTCCCCAGACTGCAGGAGACAGGAAGGACTGGAGGTGCTGTGACAGGGCTAGGCTTGTTTAGGTAGAAAATCACCCTCTTACAGCTCCTCCAGTGGTGTACCACAGCCGCTCCCTGCTCCAGGCCCCTTCCCATACACTGCCAAGCCCCTCCTGCTGCAGCCCCTCCTTCTACCTCCTACCCCCACAGCACAGGCATACACACTAAAGGAGACAAATGACAGGGCCTCAGCTGAGCGAGGCGCGTGTCCGGTCCATAAACCACAGGGATGGGTCACGTCTGGAGCTGCCATGGCTGCCAGTACCCACCCATCTGTCTTTCCACCATTCTGCCTCAGATTGAGCCTCGGGGGCTTCCCGACTTCCCTGAGGGAACAAGGTGTCATCTCCATACCTATATCCACTACAAGTACCTACATGTTGAGCTCTGTGACAGGACCTTGTCTTCCTTGGCTGCTCTAGGTAGGATCTGCTGAGCTGTCTAATGACACAGACCCTTGGCTGATCAGTCTCCTTCCCCATGCATAGTCCCTTCCTAGTTCTGGGTGGGAGGGGTTCCCTTTCCTAAGCTGAAGTGCTGGAAGGTAGAGTGGGGTGGGGTTCAGACTATGACAGATGCAGAAGCTTCCTGACCCCACCTTGACCTTATTCCCTCCTCCCCCCGATTATGACATCAATGTACAATATTTCTGCAGTCACAGCATCGATCCCATGAGGGCTGGTGGCAGCTGGGGTCCTGGTCACAGCCCAGGAGCACTGAAGGGAGATAGGAAGAAGTGGGAGAGGCAAGTGAGAGAGGACAGCAAGTTTGATGGCCTTTCTGGGTGACTCAACTGGGAGACCCAGGTACTTGGGTAGTTTTATACTAGGTTTACTTTACTGACAAGCTCGGGGCAACTGCCCTTCATACTGATGGTGGAGTAAGTCCTGGCCCATGTCTGCAAAACTGATATCCCAAAGAGCCTGTAGCCTCCAGGGCATCAGGACAATTTAGAGCATGAAGTTTTTTTAGGGGACCCACTCTAGAGAAAATGCTTGTGACAGGTCTTTATAACACAGACATACTTCATCTGAGGTGTGGGCAGAGGCAGGGCCCCCAAAGTGACCAGCACCTAGTTCTGAGCCTACTGGGACAGGGACGGAGAGGGCTGACATACCCAGGTGTCTGGGGCCACACAGAAACAGTACTCAGGGCAGGTGTGTCTCCCAGGGCTGTGGACTAGCAGTGCTGAACCTTGTGCCTTGTCACCAGTGATTATGGCCTAGGCCACATCTCCCACACACACGCAAGTGCCAGCAAAGTCACCCTGGCCATGGGTGTGATGAATGGCCGCGCAGTAATGAAATGGAGACATCAAGGCGGGTGGCGGGAAGACGGAGTGTGGCGGACGGGCCGTCCCCACATGGCGGCAACAAGAAGGATCGCCCAGCGGCCGGGGGCCGTCAAGGGAGAAATTACACATTTACTCTGCCTTTTTCTTACTGCGACGTCGCCCATATATCACCGCTGGGGCAGGGACAGGACATGCCGGCCAATTTCCAGCATGAATTATGGGACTGGAAAGCATTTGCCGGCCCAGCATCACCCAGCCCAACCTGCAGCTGGAGATGCAGCCATAAAGGCCGGGACCCTCTCTAGTGCCTGCAGCTCCTAAATCCAACCCTCCTTCCCACACATACCCTTGTAAGAACACTTGTGGGCATGGAGGGGAAGGGTCCAGGCCTGGGCTCATCTAAATGTCTTTTCTTCTCTTTAGATGACTGCAAGAACATTGCCAACATCATGAAGACACTCGCATATCGAGGCTTCATCTTCAAGCAAACATCGAAGCCATTCTGATTGGCTGAGGATGAGATGGGGCAGGACAGGGAGCTGCTTGGCCGAGCCCAGAATCCTCCTCTCCCTTACCAGATGGAAAAAGGGAGAGTGGCACAGCCCTGCGCCCAGTGTCCCCCAGCTGCCCTATGGATTGTATCCAGGCAAGGGCTGGGCCAGCTGGCCCCTCTGGAGCAGACACTTTGTGTCCCCCACCCTTCAATCTCAGCCCAGTATTAGCCCCTTCCATGTGGGCCTGGGCTTGGGGGACCCAGGCACTCACTGCCTCCTCCCTGTACACAGGCTTCTGCTGGGGCCACCAAGCCCCCCTGTGCCCCTTCCCATCCATAGTGCATGGTGTGTGGTGCCCCCAGGGCTCCAAGACAGATCAGGCCCCATCTTGTGTCTACCCCCAGCCCTGCTGTGAACGTGCCACTGAATAAAGTTGGGGAAATAAGGCCCTGGGTGTGTGCAATGGCTGTTGCTGTTAGTACTGTCAGGCCATAAAGATAGTGTGCACTCAGGCTATTCCTTGCACACAGAGGCAACAGGTGTGGCTGGCATACCCTTGCTGAAGATGCACAAGTCTGGAGAGGTATGGGTGTCTCAGGAGGCACTGCTGAGTCCAAGACCATCAGGAACATAAAATCACAGTGAAGGGGCTGGAGTTTGGGCTGTGCGGGCAGAGTTGGGGTGATGTTACCGAGAGCCCGAACACAGGCCAACCTTGACCACCCGCTACAGACAGCAGCCGAGGCCCTGCCTAACCACTCTCCCAGAGGCCGCAGGGTATTGAAAAGGAAGTGGGAGCAACCCAGTCAAGTCAGTAGCTCTATTTACACCACAGTACCACCCGCACCCTAGTGGCCTCTCACGGCTTCTTGGCTTTCTTCACAGAAGATGAGCTGGAGGCTGACTCCCGTCGCTTCCGCTGAGGAGACAGAAGGTGTGAAGGTCAGTAGCCCCAAGGCCTAACTCAGGCTTAGTGTGCCACACTCAGGTAGGTGACACCCACTGGTCAGCCCACTCCTGCCCTCAGCCCCTCAGAGGCAGGGACCAGACAGCATGGCTGGCATGTGCACGTGCCCACTTACCGAATTGGGTGTGAGGGGTGCACCCACGACATCAATAAGGGTATCCTTGGTGGGGTCAGGGCCAAGTCCAGGTTCAGACACTGCTGGCTCAGTAGAGGCTGGGACTGGGCCTGCTGCTGGTGTGGCTGGGCCCCCAAGGACGCCTGCCCGGGCCAGTGCTTCATGCCGGTGCCGCAGCATCTGGAGCTCATACTCGCAGTTGGCACAGGCCTGCTTGAGCTCATAGAGTAGCACGAGGTCGCTGCGCAGCTCATTGAACATGTGCACAAGTTCTTCAGTGGGCGTCGGGCTCAGCTCTGCAGGCAGGGCAGAGGGGCTGTGGGTGACGTCTACAACATGCAGTGCCCAGCCCAACCCAGCCCAGCCGGCTTCCACCCAGCCTAGGTTGTGTCCCAAGGCCCAGCCTATACTCACCCACGCCGAGCTCCAGCAGCATCTGTTCCAGGGCCTTGATCTTCTTCTGACCCACAGAGCTAGGCAGCTTCATCTGCAATGACCCAGAGAACTAATGCCCTCTCCCCGGAGAGAATGAGGATGAAGGGGCTAAAGGCACTGAGGGCTGGGGCTACAGGTAGCTGAGGGCCAGAAAAGGCAACAGCCAGGAAGTGGAACACAGTAAAAGCTGTGGCCTGGCCATGTGCCCCTAGGATCCTGACAAGACCACCTCAGTCTACAACCATCTCTCCTGTTGCTCCAGCTCCAACAGTTGCAGTACTCGAGCCACCCGGAGCCCAGGGCTCAAACAGATCACACGTGACACACGTACCCGCTGGCTCCGCAGCGTGACACCTGCAGACTTGAAGTCTGGAAACTTGATGCCTGCAGTCTCAGGAACAGCCTGGGGGGAGAAGAAATCAGGGAGACCAGTGTGTCACAGGAAATGGGGCCAAGGTCAGCTCCAGCAGGTTGTCAGCTCTGTGAACTCTCAGAGCTCCTCTTCAGGATGGTGCTCTGTGCCACCCTCCACCAAGAGCTGGGCTGCCTTTCCCTCCGCACCGGCTTCTCAGCCTCCTTCTTCTGGGGTAGCTTCTTCTTGGGGGCCTTGCGCTCTGTGCGCCGCTGCTCTGCAGTGGTGTCTGCTGCAGTAATCAGCTTCTGCAGGTCCTGGCTGCGTTTCTCCCGCTCCTTCTTCCGGGCCTCAATCTTGCGAAGCTCCTGCAACAAGTACTCCTCCTCTGCCACCTGAGAAGGTAAGAGATGCTGAGAGCATGGGAAGGCAATGTGCAGCAAGGGGGTATGAGGTAGAAGGAGCAGAGAGGTGCAGAAGAGCAGAGAGGAAGTAAGAGGTTGGGGCAAGGGAGTTGAGGGCGTGGAGGTCAGAGGCAGTAGGCAAGGCTTTGGGGGTTAGGGAAAAGGTATGAGGAGCTCAGGGCTGACCTGCTCCGGGGTCCGGTTGTAGAGACGCTCAAGCTGTTCCTTCCGCCGCCGCTCATGCCCAGCATCAAATACTGGTATCTTGAGGTCTGTACCTGGCACAGCCCGCACATTGGCAAGCTTGGCACAGATGTGATAGTACCGCTCCTTCAGGTCCTCCACAGAACGTTTCTGAGGATTGAACAGGCTGGAGACGAACACTCAGGAGCACATGGACGGGATGCTATGAAAGTAGGGTCTACCAGGCCCAGGGGCTGGGCACACATGCAGGTGCACACAGCTTACCTTGAACTGCTGGTGGTCATACCGGTCGTGGATAACTACAAAACGCAGGTCAAAACGGCGGCTGAGGTCAAAGAGGTGGTCAGTTTCTGCCTTAGTCCAAGCATCATCGTGGAGGTAAAGCTGGTACTCCTGCTCTGAATACACAGGCACCTGTACGGTCTACTGGCACAGAAGACACAGTAAGGGCACTTGCCACCCATGTCATGTCACATCTGTAGCTCTAGCCCTGGGGCCACAACCCCTCCCACCTATTTATAGCCAATCCCTAGGTGGATAAAAGCAAATCCTTAGTCTGTTGTATCCCTGCAGAAGGCAGCCTGGAGTAAGCAAAGAACCTATCTCTAGTATTATCGCTTGCCTGATTTACTCCCAGAACAGCTTCACCTTGTCTTTGGTTCCAGAGGCTGGTAACAGGCCACAGCTACTGGCCCCTATGGTAAAGGTGAGGGAGCCACTTGTAAGCACTTCTGTGGAGTCCAAAGGTCAACTTTGGAGTCAGGCAGATGGCTAAATACACTAGGCAGAGGAAGAAGGCCAAGGAGCCTCTACTGACCAACCCTAAGCTGAAGCATTACTGCCACCTAGTGGTGACAGTGGGACTTGCTGCTTCCTCAGAGCTCTTAGGTCACACATCTCTACAAAAACCATGGGTGAATCCTAGTACCAACACAGCCTTTCCAAAACCCCTTCCTGCCCTAACCTAAGCCCATTCCCCAAGCATCCCCAAAAGACAACACCACTACAATCTGGTTCCATGAGGCACAGACCCAAATAAAGAGTCAATGCTAGACTACCAATGGATTTTCTCTCTGAAGACCACAACTAGCTTTTTCCATCTGCCTCTTGGACACCTCCTACTGGAGGTCCTACACATACCTCAAGCTGAACATGCTCAGTACTAACTCATCATCTTCCCTCAAACTTACATCTCCTCCGATCTAGACCTCAGTCCATGTCACTGTCACCTAATCTTGTTGCTCAAGCCAGAAACCTTGGAGACATCTTTAATTTGTGCCTTTCAACAAGTCTCTGACTTTACTTACAAAATCTCTCTTCACTGCCATATTCCAGGCCAGACTAGCACCATCATTTGCCTAGGTCAGACAAACAGCCTCTGCACTGGTCTCACTCCTTCCACTCAGTCCTCCTCCAATCTGTTCTCCAGGACTGGGGAGATGGCTCAGTGGAATAAGCACTTCTTTGGCAAGCGAAAGGGCCTGAGTTCAATCCCCGGTTCCACCAAAAAAAAAAAAAAGGTAGCCAATCTGTTCTCCATCTCCAGCCAGGATTTGACCCCTCTGAGCATTGGTACATAAGAGCATGGTGCAGACTGACGATGTTTGTAGGCCTACACCAGTGATCCACAGAAAAAAGGAATCAGAGAAGGCAATGAAAAACTTTCATATAGTAACTGTACTGTTGAATGTAATTTGAAAAAGCACAGGCTTTATTGTCTTTTATAATTTTATTACCTTTATCAGTTGAATGGGTTGAGCATATAAAAGAGAGGCATCCTGCAACACAGAAAATCTGAAGACACGTTATTCTACATGTATTTTATCTATAACTCCCTTAAAGTCTTTCACCTCCAAGATAAAGTGTCTTCTAGACTAATCCATTAACTCCTCAAAGGCTGGGACAATAGCTTAGTAGAATAAGCACTTGCTTGGCAAGCGCAAGGTTATCAGTTCAATACCTGGTACCACCAAAAAAAAAAAAAAAAAAAAAAAAAAAAAAAAGAAAAAGAAAACATTAACTCCTCAAAAACAAGAGTGACCGGGCTAGGGAGATAGCTCAGTGGTCTAAGCACCTGCTTGGCAAGCGCAAGGACCTGGGTTCAATCCTGGGCATGGTGGTGCAGTGCTGGGGAGGCTGAGATAGAAACACAAGTCCAAGCTGCATAGTGAGACCCTGTACCAAATACATAAATTACAAAAAGCAAAGCAAAACAAATAGGGTTACCCAGTTCATCTCCTGCTTTTAAGGCTCTGTAATTACAGCTATCCATAAACTGAATAGGCATTGAACTGACCAATGAGCATGAGTGAATAACCCGCGCCCCTCCTACAGCTCAAGAATCCGAAATGCCAGCCAAATGACTTAATGTTTTCAAGAACATACTAGACTTTCCTCATCACTGAACTCTGCCTGAAGTGCCTTCTCACTTCTAAGCACCTGTCTGGGTAATTCTCCTTTTGATCTCCTTCAGGTACAGCTCTTCTGGAGATGCTCTTAGTTGCCAGATTTAATTATATATCCCTCATATATACTTAAATCCACTCAACTATAAAAAGCATTATACCTTAAGAACTGCATGGCCAATCCTGCTCTCAGAGAATTCACAGTCATTTATTTATTCAACAAGTATTTATCATGGGCCTCTCTACCTATGCTGGGACAGAAAGGGATCTTTGCCTCCCAGCTCACAATCCAACTGAAAAAAATAATAATTTTCGTATAGTATGGCAAGTCGGATGACAAAGGTACACCTACAATATACTAAACAAGACTGGTTCCAGTCTGAGGACACAAGTTGAAATAGTCAAAAAAGAAATGAGGCCTAGTTTAGTCTTTTGTAGTGAGGAAAGAAAAGGAAAGCGATCCTAGGTAGAAAGTATGCACACAGCCAGCAAAGAAAATACCTTTGTGTGTGTTGGCCTGGCAGTTAGGGACATGGTGAGAAACAAAGGCTGAGGTGGGAGAGGCATGAGAAAGTCTGTCATGCAGGAGCAGCCAGGCATGAGCACCTTGCTAAGGAGTCGAATTCATTCTGTGGGGATGGGAACCCATGAGGTTTTCAGAACAGTGGAAGGTTACCTTTCTCATATCAAAAGACCTGGCAGCAGTAGGATAGGGCGGTGAGGCAAGCCAGGTGATCCACTGGCTGACTTTGGCAGTGACAAAGATGAGATGTGGAAAGGCCTGAATGAAAGCTGCACCAGTGGAAGGCAGAGGATGGAGCCAAGTGAGGCTTTAGGCAACAGAAGCAGAGAGTGAGCTGACATGCAGTTGCTACTGTGCCACTGACAGCTACTGTGATTCTGTCCTGAGCAAGAGTAGCAGAAGAGTTCCAGGCTGAAAGGGGAATGTGGGGAAGGAGCAGATCTCCTTCATTTCGCTCCAGCTTCATTCTTCACTCTAGTCACCAAACACAGATCTATAAGTACTGCACACTAACTGACTGTGCCACTGGAGCTTCTCAACACAGATCTAATCTTGACACTAATCCAGTGAAAATCTATCAGTGGCTACTGAAAGCAGTTTGAAGGCCACCTGTTTATTTCAGAGTGTCAGTGGGTAGCAGGAAAAAATAATCAGGACATTATAAAGGAGACTGTCCTGCTATCTCTCCAAGAAAAAAACCAAAAAAACAAAATAGTGACTACCATGGACAGCCAGGGCATCACTGGGCGGAGGCCCCTGCTGACAGCTCAGGGCCCAGCTCTCACCATGCCCTACAGTGGGCTGTAGACTTCACACATGGAACCTCCCTATACTATTACCATTTCTAACTATGCCTTTGCTTGTACTGTTTTCTGACTGAAAAAGTCACTGTACTGCTTTTCCTATTATTGCCTGGAGATAGCCTTTAGGACCACTCAGGCTCTAACTACTCTAGGAAGCTTCTGGGACCTTCAGGCTCTCCCAATATCACACATATCCCAGCAGACTGTAATTGCTTCTTTCTCTTCCACCTCTTCCCCCAGCCATATGGAGCTTCTGGGGGCAGGTAATATGTCTCATTTATGTGTCTTTAATGTCTAGACCTTAACTTGGCATGGAGTGATATTTATTAAATATAAAATGAATGGGCCAGCAAGATAGCTCAGTGGACTAAGTGCTTGCTTAGGCAAGCACTGGGACTGGGTTCAATCCCTGGAACCACATGCCGCATGGGCCCTGCCCCCAGGTACACTGAACCAGTCACTGAGTCCGGGTATGGTAGCACACCCCTGTGATCCCAGCGCTGGGCATACTAAAAACAGGAGAATCACTGAGTCTAAGCTGCATAGTGAGATCCTCAACCAAATACATAAAAATAAAAAAAATTACATACAAAATGAGTATTTTTTGTCTGCACCTCAGCTTATTTCATCTGAGCTCTCGCCCACTGTCTTTGATGCCTCACCTTTGACGGTCCCTTTTCTAGCTTGTATTCCTAGCCTCTCTGGACCTGAGAGGCCTAAAGATAATGGTTAAAAGCAGGCAAAGCTGGTATGAGATATTGGGAGTAATGGATTTACACCTGGCTATGCTCAGACTGTGAAACCTGTGTGTAGTCCAGGGGAAGGTGTACAGGTATGTTTAAGTATCCTGGGCTTACCAAGAGAAGTTGGAACTTGCAGTTCTTGGTCTGAGCCCTAGTGCCTTTAGGCTTTAAGAATAAACTGTCCTGAGCTGTGGCAACTGTGAGGCCACCTAGTATAATGGTTTAAACCATGGGCTAAGAAATCATAGCTCAGTCTAGCTCTACCTGTCACTGGCTGGGTGAATCTGGCTAAGGCCTTGCTCTGGCTAAACCTTAAAATCTGGAACTGAGATAATTTAGCTTGGATCAGGGTGCCGATATACAGATGAATAAAGATGATTTACTATGGAAACAATTGGGGGGCTTGATAATTAGATCTATCACTGAGTCTATCAAGATGTATATATCTAGATGTATTGCTTGATGATCAAATGTATCTGATGTCTAGCTCAAATGCTACTTTCTCGGAGGCCTTCCCTGACTACTTTAGATCTACTCTATCTAAAGTGGATCTCCCCTACACCTACAGTTTGCCTTTTTAAAAAAATATCAATTCATATTCTGGTTTTATTGGCAGCTCCTAACTAAAATAATCCAATTTATTCCCCTACATTTTTGATATGCCTTTCCTTATCTTTGTTCTGTTATTGAGATCTAAGGCAGAAGGCTAAACTGAGGATATTTCCCAGTTTCTAGTGTGGGCAGCCTGCAACGATAATGATATCATTTGTTGAGCTGAAGAACACGTCTGGGGGCAGGGGTAAAGGGAAGATTGTAAATTCTACTCAAGCATACCTACTTGATGTGAGGTACCGATGGAGCACTCAGAAGGAGATGTTAGTAAATGACTGAATATGTGGAAACAATTGCTTTGAATATCTGGAGATATTAAGTTTAGTTCACTGGCTTAAAAAGGGTCTAGAATCACATGGTCAATGAGACACAACAGGAGAAAAGTATGGACTAAGAGTGAAGTGCCTACATAGTGCTCTGTGGAACAGCAATATTTGAAAAGTCAAGAGAAACCACCAAAAGCCAGAACACGTTCAGGGACAGTCAACCCCATAGGCAGAAAACCCCCCAGAGTCAAACTTTGCTTTATAACCCAAGCACTGACCCATTTGAATGGTGGTAGCTCACCTTATTGAATCTGGCAAATGGGTAGTCCTTGCCTTCCTCTGCTGCCCGACGCCAGTGAAAGAACATGGCTCCATCCTTACGTGCTGGGTTGGTAAATGGCATCCACTTCCATGGCCGAACCTTCTTGGAGCCTAACTTGGCCTTCACTGTGCGGTAGCCCTGACCAGTATCACTGGGTAGCAGTGGAGGTGCATCTCTGCCAGTAGGTTTAGAGGTAGAAGGTTAGAATCACAAGTTGTATAGAGAGCCTCTGGGCCCAAAGAACTGATCTATTTTTGAGCAGATGTTAGTAAATGTTTTAGAGCAAGCTATGTTCTAGAGCAAGACCTCTGGGCTCCTCTTGTAACCTGCTAAGCAAGCAAGAGCCCTAGCTGGGAAGGGGAGGTGGGGAAAGAACTGGAAGGAAAGCCAGGAGTTAGTGACATGGCAGGTGGACCAGGGTTTGGAGCACAAGGGACTGAGGGTTCCAATACTTGCTTCTTGTCAGAGTAGAGCAGTGCATAGACCTCCCGGTGCATGCCCTCAGGCCTCTTGAAGGTCAGTGTCTCAGAAGATTTCTTGGACTTTTTCTTATGAAACCAAAGGAAAAGAACCACAGCCTAAATCAACTCCCTTTCTTGAAAATTCTATAGCCAGCAAATCCCTCACCTACAGGCATAATGACACATAATGACACATTGTAAGCACACACTATAAAGAACAGAAACTTTCAGAATTCCTAATTCTCCTCCCCACTCCTATCAATCTGAGTAAAACTCTAACTTCTTAAAGCAGAAAATACTTTCTCTACTTCTAGACTGTCACAATATCTTGATTTTTTCTACCAGGTAATTTAGGAATGACACATTCTCCTCCCCTCATCTCTTGCAAGTTTCCCACTTTTGGTACCATCTACCACGGTGTTCCACCTCCTTCATCATCTCATTAAGAAAGATACAAAAAAAAAAAAAAAGGAATGATACATATTCTCTGTCCGTTCTGTCACTCACACCTCTTAATCGTGCATCTCACTTGAGGTGTAGCACCCCATCACTTCCCCCATCTCTTCCGTCGTCACTCAGCCCGACTCCTCAGTTCCCCTACTCAGTGTTCTCCGGTGCCCCCATTACCTTGTCCGGGTTGATAATGTCCTTTTTGCTGATAGTCCCAGAGGCTGTATCTCCCTCTGGACCTCCGAGTTCTAGAATGTCCCGTACATCCGCTCCCGTAGCCATCGCGCCTGAGTGTTGGGGTGGCACCTGAGGTCAAGGGTCGGTGCCTGAAGAGGGACCAGGTTCAGGTCAGGAGGCGGGGACACTCCAAACCCAAGTGGGGTTGGGATAAAGAGACGAGCCGAGAGGAATTTGGTCTGGGTATGGTTGGGGTAGTACCGGTATCCTGCCGCTTGCGTGTACCTAATGACAGCATCAGATTCCTTCCCTTACCCCTGCGCCTCTGCGCGGGTGCCACTTCGCTGCGGTCTCCCCCGCCGCCCCTAAAACACCGGGAAGCTACAGGCAGGCACTTCCGGTTGTGCGCTTTAGAAACGTGGCTCACGGAAACATTTCCGGGTTGTGCATGGCGAAAACAGAACCGGCGGGAAACGCAGTGCGAAAGCTCTGTAGTGGCCATTCGGGGCAGATCTCAGTTCTGTTGCTCGCTTTTGGCTGGCTCGTTTGTGTTCATGCACTGCCTGCTTTCTGAAGGGTAGCTTCTATGTTGCTCCTTTGCGTCTTGGGCAATGAAAAGAGAGCCCAGGGCTTGTGAGGTTAAGCAATTTAATTTGTCTGAACCTGTTTCTTCATGTGTGGAATGTTAATTCTAATGGTACCTGCTTAAATGAAATACCGATAATCTACGTAAACCATTCACATGGTGCCTGGAACACAATTTTTAAAGTAAATCAATGATAATTAATATTATTAATTACGTGTTACTGTATTCATTAAATATGTGAGCCAGTGTGACCCTTGGCAATGAAGAGAAATGAAACAGGCCAATCTTGAGGGTGTTTGTCAGAATGGGGTCCAGACCCTCACTTGTGCCTCTTCTGGATGGAGGTGTCAGTGGGTTGTGTCTCTGGGGCTTTGTTGGAATCTAGCTTTCTGAAATTTCTCTAGTACAGCTAGTCCCTTTTTTAAAAATTATTATTATTGACAAAAAGGTCAGAGCCACAGACTCAAACAAGGATGAGCTAGATATAGCCCTCAACAAGAAAGAAATTTGGTAGTCTCCTTAAAGAGAAAAACAGACAAGCTCTGGGGAAGCTCAGAAGTGAAAGGGAAGAAGCTTCTATTTTTAGCCTCTACAAACCTGCCTACCAACATGGAGGACACATGCACAATGAGTGTACTACATGGAGAAAAGTTTGTATAAACCAAGACCTGCCAAAGATCCTCATGGGGCACTAGAAGGGCAGACAGCTAGCTGTGTATAAATGGTGTAGCCTATTCTTGCCTTGAAATCTTAAGCCTTGCCAGATCTCAAAACTTTGGAGAAGTAGGCTTGGAAGTATGGACCTTGCTCTGTACATGAGACCTGATTCCTGTGTGGATACAGATTTTGGGGAATCTAGATCTTGCAGTAATAGTTTCTCTTAGAGAACCTTGGAGGGTCTTTGGAACCAGAAGTAAAGCAATGGGAAAAATCCCTGAGCTTCTACCTGAAATACTTGACCCTACTTACAGTTAATTAATTGTCTAATAAATATGTCCCTTGATTGACTCATTTTTGTAAACACAAGGATCACAATAGGAAAGTGAATTATATGACAGGCACGGTAGTAGAATGGGGATGTAATAGGTAAATGAGCAATAGCTTCTGGTGGAGTGTGTAGTTAGTAGGAGAAAAGCACCAAGCATATCAAGAATCAACTTTTGGGCTGGTGAGATGGCTCAGTGGTCTAAAGCACCTACTTAGAACAAGCTAAGCTAAGCAAAACACAGGGACCACTGTTCAAACCCCCAGCACCACATGCCAGCCAGCCCCGCCCCCCTGGTGGGCTGAACTGGCCACACACAAAATAAATAAAGTATTTAAAAGAAAATAAATAAATAGCATCTTAAAAAAAATATCAACTTTTGTTCTTTAATGGAGACAAGAGTTAGTTGGGAAATGAAGTGGAAGACTACAGAGTGAAGTTAGGGAAAGTTTCCTTGGGGAATTGAAATTTAAAGACCAAATTTGAGACCAAAACAATGCAGAGTGTTTCATACATGAAGAGAAACAAATGCAAATTCTCTCAGATGGAATTTGATGAAGGGACATGAAAAAAAGTGTCATGATTTGGATCTTAAATATCCCCCAAAGCTTCTATGCTAAAAGTGTGGTCATCAGATTGTACAGTATTGCTGTCAGAAGGTGGCGGAAGGAAATAAAGTCACTGGAAATGTGCCTTTGAAGGAAACATTGAGGCACTGATCTTTCTTCTCTTTGCCTTGAGGTGAGGAAGCCTCCCTTGTCATCCATTCCCCACCATGATGTTCTTCTCCACAGACCCCAAACTGACAACCAACTGTGGATTGAAACCTCTGAAACTACAACCCCAAGTAAACCTTTCCAGCATTAAATTGTTTATCTTAGATATTTTTGTCAGTGACAGAAATCTGATTAAAGTGAAGGTCAGTGTGGTGAGAGTCAGGTGAGATGTGGGAAAACAAATGATTTGAGATCAGATATGGGCATTGTGGTTTATAAGAATAGGTTGAGTTTTACACAAGGACAATCATTTGCTGTCCTCATCAAAACTATGAGCTCTTAAAGGATAGCACTGGGTTTCATCCTCTAAACCTGAATCATGTCTCTGAACCTATTTTCTTCATTTGCAAGGTGTAAAGTATGGATTATTTGGAGGAGCTCCCCAGAAAAAGATTTCTGAAAGGAAGTTTATATATTTTCCAAAGCAGGCATGGCTTTCTTCACAAACCCTGGGGTTTCTTCTGCAATATCCCTCTGGGTTTGATATGCCACCAGCATGGTGATCTGAACATAACTGATTTGATAGATCATAGAGACCAGTTGGGACATCTACTTACATTACAGCCTAGACCAATTGGAGGATTTTTTGACTTGCTCTGGTTTCCCTTCACAGATGACAGCCTTTCAGATTACTGATTTAATTGGTAGATACAGAACACCCAAAGGTGATTTCTGTTGCATCAAAAATTCAAAGCTTCCATATACCACCCAGCACCATACTTCAACTAATCTAAAATGCCATCCACTGAAAGGTACACCTCATTTAAATTCCATTATGAATTTTTTTGCACATTGTCAATTAAGCCATGATATACCATTGATTATAAAATGCATTGCCATTTCAGAGACTTTAAAATGATGAGGGAGCAGTAATATAGTGGATATACTACATGCCACTGAATTGTTCACTGCAAGATGGTTAATTTCATGTAGATTTTTTTTTATTTAGTACAGGGTTTACAGGGTTTCACTACACAGATTGGACGGCTAGTGATATTCCTGTTTTCAGCTTCTTCATTTGCAAGGTGTAAAGTATGGATTATTTGGAGGAGTGCTGGGATTAAGGGAACATGCCACTGCACCCAATCTCAATCACCAACTCAGCACACACCAGGGGCGGGCCTGGCACAGCAACCAGGGATCAAACCCCGGTCCCTGCATCTGCCTAGGCAGGTGCTTTAGTCCCCTGAGCTATCTGGCCAGCCCCTATTTTATGTAGATTTTGTTTCAATAATAACTTTTAAGCTGGGTGTGGTGTTGCACTACATCTCAACATTTTGGGAAGCTGTGGCAGGAGGATGGAAAGTTCAAGCTTGGACAACTTAGAAATTTAACTAGATCCTGTCCCTCCAGCACCCCCTCCAAAAAAAAAATCCAACAGGACTAAGGATGTAGCTCAGTGCAAAGGCTCTGGGTTCAATCTTCAATACTATAAATAATAGTGATAATGATTTTTAATGTAAACAATCTCAGAGTCAATGACAAAGGATACAGTTCAATTTAAATGATACAGTGAATTTAAATTATACTGCAATTCTCCATATCAAACTTTGAACTTGATTTCCAGCTATAACCAGCCCAATAATTGTATTATTTATTTTTACTACAGACATAGAATGTCAGTGATTTGAGAGCTATCTTCATCCAAAATTTTAGGGCATTGATGTTGTCATTTCCTTTCTTTTTAAAAACTTTTAAAAATCTTTATTTATTTATGAATTTGTCACAGGGTCTCACTATTCAGTTTAGACTCATAATGATTCTCTTGTCTCAGCCTCCCTAGTTCTGGGATTACAAGTGTGCACCACCATATCCGGTTTTGGTGGATAGCACTGCATGCCCGGGGTTCTGGGGCTGGCATAGACTGTGGTACCAGGGATTGAACTGGGGCTCTTCTGCTTGCCAGGAAGGTGCTTAGACTGATGAGCTATCTCCCTGGCCCTGTCATTCTTTTCTTAGCCTTCTGCAAAACAATTAGAAGAGACCCCTCTTTACTGCACAGTTTTCTGTCTGCCTTCCATACTCGTCTGTGGTGGAGGCTCTTTGGTGCCTCAGCATTTTGATTGCAGTGCATCTTACATTCAGGAGGTGATTGATTGCAGGTGATGATCTATTAGGTACAGACCAAGGGCTGGATTTTCATACCTAAACATGAATGCCAAAATCATCTCTGATCTGCTACCAATTTATGTATCATTTTCAATCATAGTTTCTAGTTATGTTTTCTAGGAAGTATAGCCAAAATTGTTTGAAGAAGAGATAGATGACCAAGTAGAACAGTAACCATAAGAATCCCAAAATGTTATTAATGAGCTTCAATTTTGAAAAGCACCAGGTTGAAAACTATAAATGAGTTCTATATTGCTTTCAGTTAATAGATCATTTGTCATACATTCAGGTTAACTTTAGAGCATATAAGAAGTTGAAAACTCTCAGTCCAACTTATGAAAATACCAGAATATCAATACCAGACACTAAAAAGGAGAGAAAACCACTGAAGGATACAGAATCCTCATCATAATTAAACCACTAAAATATTTAGAAAAGTCTGAGAGCCACCCCACATATTGTACTACTATATCCTGAAACCAAAACAGACAATAGCAGCAGGAGTGGGAAGAACTCACATGATCCCTTTTTGAACAATGAAGTAAAATCCTAAATAAAATGTTATCAAATTAAATCTGGCAGTGTATTAAAAGAATAATATATCAAACCCAAAGAAAATTTATCCCAGCATGCTAGGACGGCTCAGTATAAAGATATAAACAACTTAATTTATTATATTAATGAATTCAATATAAAACATAATTATTTTAATAAATTGAACATTATTGACATGAAAGAAAAAATCACCTGATAAACTAGGAAAAGAACATTCTTAATTTGATGCGTTGTTTATTTTTAGCAAAACAATGAGAAAACCCCATAGCAAATGCCCTCCCAGCTGGTGAAACAACAGAAGCGTTCCTGGTCAAGTTAGGAACAAGCAAGAATGGCCTTATTATCCCCACTACTCAAAATGGTTCTATATGTTCCC